CCAAAAAAAGATGAGTTAGATCCTTCTTGATGAATGTAGTAACTCCATAGCCAGGTCTTTATTTGCTAAGAAAGAGACCTCACAACATTACCTAATGAAAATATCTGCACATCTAAAAAAATGCTCACCTCATGGCACAAGCATGTTGTTTTATTGCTAGTCTGCAGACTCACCCCTGTTTGTTTGTTTTCCAGTAACCAGTTCAGGCGATGCTCAAGCAAACGTTTCACAGTGTTTATGTTTGATGGCGTCTAAAGCGGATCTTCGACAAGGCGTCACAAACTCAACTTGGTGTTGCATCTAAAGAAAACACAAACAGAACAAATGTAACACTCTGGCAACTAATTTCCCTCTCTATTTTTGTCCCTGGTTTCCATAGCGATGGGATGAAATGGAAATAAATTCAGTAGACCTACATTCGGATGTGTTGATTTGCCTGAATCAGTCCACTCGGGTAATCATGAAGTTATTATGCAGCAGGATGTCATGTTTGTCATTGCCGGTGGGGTGCGGGGGCTTGCCTCAGGTGTTTTTAATAACTTTCCTGTTGGACAAATCTTCTTCTTGAGAGTGAAAAATGTGCCTTAACATATTTCAATGTTTGAGATTCTAGAGGGAAGTTTGGATTTTTAAGCGAAATCCTTGTCTCAGAAGCATTTAAGGTTTTCCTCCTCTCCGCTTGTTTCTGACACCTCAGCTGGGTGTTTTCTAAGATGGTCATGTGGTGTTATCTCTAAATCCTTAGTTGTTTTTTCTCAGTTTTATGTTGAAATCACCTCCAGCATGTTAAAGCAAACCTTTTAAAATGCAGCCTTTGTGATATAAGCTTTAAACAACCTTGTTCTGCCCATATTTCTCTCTGCTCTCTGCTCTTTCCCGTCTTGCATATTTCAATCTTTATGTTGTGTTTTCCCTGCGTCTCTAACCTCGGGTGTATTGAGCAGCCATTAACCAATCCTTATATTTCAGACAGATGAAGCATAGCCAGGGCTATACATATCAAGTAATTCATGCCTGTGGCTTAAGGTTCTAATATTTCTTCCAGCTCCTCTGTCTGACAGAGCCTAGGTCTCTATTCATCACTTCCATGCTTATGCTGCTGAGATAGGAGTTATATTGCAAACAATTGTTTATAGAAGAGGCTGTGTGTTTTTACGTGAGCTAAAACACATGCTCTGGCCTTCAAGCTTCTTCTGAAGCATTCAGCTTAAATGTGAGGTGGCATCATTTGATCTGCTGAATGAGTCAGAGTGCCCTTAGAAAGCAACCAGACGTATCGCACACAGACCTGAACGCTTTTACCAGGGGCTAATTCTCTTTTTAAAGACGGTTACACAGAAGCATCAAAGAAGGAAATACTGGAATCTAATTGCGTTTTTAATTTAAAAGAACATCAGTCATGTGTCAAAATGATGGATGAAGTCCTAAGATCTCAGGGATCTTGTTTCTACTGAAGCTGTTGGAAGGGGTTGTGAATTCCTGCTGATTACATATCGGGGTGTATCAGCAGTTTCTGAAGGTTTTTCCTGAAGGTAATCTGAAGTACTCCAAAGTTTCAATTAAAAACATCAAGCCGGCCCGGAGCGGTACGTGGCATAGCTGTATCATGGGTGCTCCATATAGAGAGGCTATTTGTCCTTTGGGACAACCTTTAGGGTTTAACTCCTTACCAAAGGCGTTTAAAGCAACATTGTGTAGCTTTTGCCGCTGGGGGCATTAAACCCGTCGCTTCCAGGTTCAGCACCCCAACAGCACACTGTGGCATCAATAAACAGCCTCCTTTAGTGTTTTGAATCTGCTAGCTGACCACTTTGGACCAGGAGCGCCATGGTCTCTCCTCAGTGTTAACGCTGAAGTTGCAAATTTCTGTTAAGTGCGCCACGTGTACTTACACCAGGAAACTGTTTTCCTTATTTAAGGGCTGGTTATACCCCCTGCAGCAGTGTGTGGCAGTGAGCTGGTTGCAGATATTTTTGATTTATGCCCGATATTGAAGCATGGTCTGCGCTATGTGCATGTGCCACAACGCAAGAGGGACAATTAGGAACTATCTGTGGGTCTAGATACGGACGAGGCGGAGAGGAAGTGGGGACAAGTTTGTGTGACAGCGGAGGGACATGAGGGCGAAAAAGAGCGGTGATCCAGGTGGAAAAAGGGTCCCAGTGTTCTCACGCACCTCGCTCTTCTAGCTGGTCCAACTTCACGAGTCGTTTTCCACAATAGCGGTCATACAAACAAAACATGGTAGGTAGCAAACAGGAAATACGCATAGAGTGGATGTAGATTTGACCAATCAGAGGCCTCCTGTCTGCGGTCACCTACAGTTTTGGAGAGGTGCAGCAGAGTGTCTGCGGAAGGGGCGGGGCATATCTGCGTTCACTGCGACACACACGCAGACGACCTGGTTGCTGAGCATAAACCAGCCGAATTGAATAATGAATCAGTTTAAAGCACAGTATTGAGTATTGCATTATTGAAGCATTACTTAATAAGGTGTAAGTCCCTGTTTACATCTGAAATCCTGTTTGGATATGGCAATAGGACGTTCTTTATATTTTTTTTTTTCTCAGCAGTTTTTATTGTCATTACACTGTCACCAGTACAGCGCAATGAAATTCACTCTCTGCATTTCACTCATCCTCTTGGGGAGCAGTTGGCTGCCATTTAGGGCATCCGGGGAGCAATCAGGGGTTAAGGGTCTTTGCTCAGAGAGCCAGAGTGGCACTCTGTGGGAGTGGGTTTCGAACTCATAACGTCAGGATTCCCACCTTTATGCCCTAACCACTTGGCCACCAGTTATTCAACCCCTACCAGGTAAAAAATCTGTTTGTATATTGCTTTGAACTCTATACAACAGGTATATCTTAGCTGTACGCAAATCCATTATATCTTGGTGATCCTCATCATGATCTACATTTAGTAATTGTTTAAAGGTTTCTTTCTTATCGAGAGAAGGGAAAATGAGCTTCATGGGGGATCTATGCCTGTCTCAGTGCTTTCTAGTTAATAATATTTTCTCTGCTGATCACATATAACATCATAATGCAAACATGCTCTACCTGCTGAAGATCTATACTGAACAAGTAGCTTAGCTGATTTTAGTGGGATATTTTGCCAATGTTCTGAAGCCTTCATACGTTAACCAGGGGTCGGCAACCCGAACTGCTCAAAGAGCCATATTGGACCAAAAAAGACAATTGAAAAATCTGTCTGGAGCTGCAAAAATTTTAAAGTCATATAAGCACAGGCTCTTAGTGTATTAATCCACTTTAAAAAAGGACTATGTGGGCTTATATATATATATATATATATATATATATATATATATATATATATATATATATATATATATATATATATATATATATAATAAGCATTTACGATTAAATGTTTATCCTGGAGCAAATGTCACATAGTAGCATGAGGTGAGGGAGGAGCAGTGAACGCTCTCACTGCGTGAAATTTACCGCGCACCGCTTCACTGCCCTTAACATCGCAGTCCAAGTTTTGTCGTATTGATGAAATTATAGAAACAGGATAAAGGAATCTTTCTATGGTGAACGTGTTTCTGTTGGGAGGAGTTGATTGATTCATGAGGAACCAAGCAGCAACTGACATCCATCAGAGCGTCGCTCTCTAACCCTGAAATCCCACATCCTCTGTCGCCAGGGTTTCTTTGGGTTATTTTTATATTGAGGATTTGGGGACAAAATTGAAAAAGGTTTACATACCTGCAGAAGAGAACTACTTGTTGCATCTGTGGACGGTTTTACATGTTTGCAACAAAACTAGCAGCAGTAGTGAACTTGGAGATGCTACCCACTTCTTAAATCTATCTTTGAGTTCCTGTAATTTATCCAGAAGTTCTGCAATCACACTTTTTCTCTCACTCTCAACTTGGTGGTCGGCTGCATGTTTAGCCTTCCCTGGAAATGCCTTTCCAAATTACTCTTTTTATTTTTTGAAAGCCTCTCGTTACAAAGCAAAAAATGTTAATGAAAACAAATGATTCTGTCCATTCTTTTTTGAATTCTCTGTTCTCATCCGCTATCTTCCTTTTTTCCTTTTGGGATCCATGGCCTGAGACACGCCTGCCGGTTTGTTTGCCTGCCATCGAGCCGCGCTATGCTGTGCTCTCTATGGCCGTGATGCAAATTTTCGTTGAAAGAAAAGTTTACATTTATTGTTTTAAATTTATTTACTATACAAATGTTTACAGCATCGGAAAACATGATGAATGTTTGACCTCCTGCGCATCACATACAAAAAAAAAAAATCTATTTTCTTTAATTTTTGAATAAGCTCCAGGGAGCTGCAACGGGTCACTAAAGAGCCGCAGGTTGCCGACCCCTGGGTTAACCAATGGACTTCTAGTTTTCTTCAAAATAAAAAAAAGTTTTAGATACTGAAAAGGATGGATGTTTGGCACCTATGAAGCTGGAAAATGTTGGATTTAACCATCTATAATGGCTTCATTAGAATGTCATTATTCTTGTTTTTAACAGTATGTTCTTGCATCTCAGCTTACAAAGTTTTCTAGCATCAATGACGATGGCTCCTAAATTGTACTAATGACGTTTAAGTGACTCTGAAAAAAAGAATATTTCATACAGAAAACAGCATCCATGAATCCTTGGTGTCTAGTAAAATGTGAAAAGCAATAAAGATGATGTAAAAAAGGCTTTTTATTTGCCCAAATTTATTGAAGGACTTAAACAGGAGGTGGAAATTCCTATTAAACACAATAGCTGGAAACATATAGATGTCTGACAAGGTAACTCACTGCAGGTTTGAAATTAAATTACACTCTGTATAAAGTTTTTTTTTGTTTGGACATTCAACCCTGTTTAGTTTACCTTTAGCTGTAAGTAAGGACATTTTACTTAGTTAAACAAGTTTTAAACACCAGTGTAGACAAACCTTTCTTGAAAATAAATTCACATAAAATCAAAATAATTTCACAGTAAAATCATCTCATTTCTTTCTTTCCCCAAACCCAGAGGCCGGCTTCGAACAGTTTCGTGTGGCAGAAAAGGCTCATGGGAGCTGGATGAAGCTCTACCTGGAAGGAAATACCTCTGAGGTGCTGACCAACATGGGCAAAAAAGTCCTAAAGCAATACCTGGAGGCGCTGGCTGCCATGAGTTCAGCTCTGAGCAAACAGCTGGGCAAATACGACCTGTACTCCATGATTGCAGGGATGGTCTTTGTCTTCCAGGTGAGGAGAGCAAAGATTTCATGGGGGTTTGGTCTCTCTATGGCAGCCTGTTTTAATAGGTTTGTTCATTTTCACAATTAAACTGGAAATGAGAAGAAAAAAAGTCTAAGAATCAGAATGTTTCATATTTCTGTTTGTATGACAGAAAGGCAAGGAATATTTTTTCAGGTGAAACCACTATTTTAAATGTCACCAAGTCTGATTTATAGGTGATTAAACAAAGAAAAGATGAAAAATATTTAGACTCGCCAAATTTTTTTCCTAAAAAGAAAACAACTGCAAAACACCATGAAAACCCATTTGAAACTCTGGATGAACGCTCAAACTTTATAGATCCAGATCTTTATTATAGGTCAAGCAAATTTGGACTGAATAAGTTGAAGCATATTAGTTTCTCAAAGGTTTTAGTGGGCAGTGTGATAGCGGAAATGTGATTTTGGAACAATGCCTGTGGAGTTTGGAAGCTGAGACAGAGGCTTTTATTTTAAGAAAAAAGGTTCAAATTTATTTAACGTCCTCAGATGGAGAGATGGAGCTCACTGAGGCAACATCAGTACATACATTTATACCTTAAAAAAATCCCAACACATACACTCCCCCAGGGGAACCAACCCACCCCCTGCATAAAGAACTTTCTTACATTTGAACATTTGGAGAAAAAACAACTTGCGTTCATCAAGGCCATTTCCTGTTAGGTTAATATATCTTTCACTGGCGATATGGTTCTTCTCAAAACATCAGTCCTCCCCTTCTTGCCATAAAGGAGGCTGTTTAACTCATTCTTATCTCTCATGACCTTCGTTTGGAGCCTGTAAGGCTAAGAACAGACATACCTCAAAATGTTTTACTCCACCTGCCAAAAGTGCAAAAATGCATTTTTCCAGTCATAAAAGCGAATCTGATCAGACAAATATGCTGATTTACATTATTGGAGAACTTCTGCATAAGGGAAAGCCTTTGCTCCTAAGATTTAGCAGTTTAACCAATAATATCAGCAAACTGAAAAGAAAATAAGAATAACAGAGCAAGCTTATGTAATGCATTTCGTTTACATTACCTCACTGCAAAAAATCTAAATCTAGATAAGTCATTTTTTCTTAAAATAAGTGCATTTGTTCTTGAATTGAGGAGGTAAAAGAGACATTTTGCCAATGGAACAAGACAATTTACACTTAAAATAAGAAAACACAATTGCATTGTCTTATTTCAAGTGCATATCATCTAATTATCTTATTTTAAGAGTAAAATTACTCATTCCATTGGCAAACTATCTCATTTACCTGCTCAAATTAAGGGTAAATACACTTAATTTAAGAAATTTTTACTTATTTCTAGATCGTTTTTGCAGTGCTGAAATGGTCGCACAATTACCTCCGACCCCTCCTTGGAAAGGTCTGAGCATCTAGTTTCCGATGATGCCGGCCATTAGGGGGTGTGGCTAAAAATTAATACTTGCTGTTGCATTACTCCTGCAGAGTCACACGTCAGGTGGAATTTTATATCTCATTTTATTTGTTTACACAGCTATAAAACAAAAAATACTTGTGAAAACAATATTTTGAAACATGTTTTAGAAATTTTAAAGCCCGATTTGAAAGGCGTGTGGATAAAACACCATGTGACTGTGTTTTGGCCCTTTCTATAAATAGATAAACATGGGCAGGAGTCAGTTGGGCCCTGTACCGGGCCCATCGGGCTTAAGGGGTTAATGTGATGCATTCACTGCTCAGCACAAGATTGTTTTTTTGTGTTCCTTACCAATTACAATCAGCTGCTTTTAATGTAATATTTGTAATATCTTTATAAAACTTAATAGGGATCCATGAATACTTAAACATTTTGGCCTAAATATGTTGTAATTTTCCAATGAACTTAAATGCTATTTGTGATATGTAACAATTAACAATAAGTTAAAAAAATTATGTATCCTTTATAATTATGTGTCTGTATAATTTCTGAATTCTGAACTATTCTGACACTCTCTGCTTTAAACTGAAAAGGTTTTACATTACTGTTCATTGCATTTACCCAGAATGCATAGCAGCATAACATCATGGCAGTTTTATTCAAAAGTGTTAAAACTGAGCAGCTTACTCTATTTTTATTGGATTGTTTTTACTTCAAAAGCAGATATTTCTTGAATTCTGTTTACAAGTAATCGGGGATTCCTTTAAAATTGAGGATGCGGTTAAGAAGAACATGACAGTAAAATGCTGCAAATCCCAATAACTGTTAGCAGCTCAGTGCCAGTGAAAGTGATCTGAGAGGTTTTAATAGCTTGGTTAGAAAATAGACTGAACTTGGATGAGAAAACCTACCTGAAAAACATCTCCTATCCTTTATTCTCTAAGAGCTACCCTCCAGGGACTTTAGATCCCTTCCCCAACAGGACAGAATGAAATAAACAGCTCTTTAGCAGGACTCTGCAGAGAAGGAATCTAAATGTGCACGATAGTAGCTCTCCTCCAGGATGGGACTTTATGCCTATGTCCTGCTAGGCAAACATTAAGACAGACAGATGGAGATCAAAGCTGGTAAAACCTTGTTTTTTTCCCTCCCTTCTCCACTTTCTTCCCTGGCCTTTTAGCTCCTGTTGGTCTTACTGCTGGCTATGCCTGAAGCCCTCAGCGGTGCCGCAACAGTGGACCTTCCGGTCCTTTCGTCTCTGCTCTCCCTGCCTTTCTACCTCCTGTGTCTGCTCCTCGCCTCCGTGCACGTGTTGGTGTGCACATCAGCTGAGAGCTCCTGTTACTTCTGCAGCCTCTCCTGGGGTCTGGTGTTTGCTGCTGTCGCCTTCTCCTCAGCAATGTTTTGCATTTTGATCTCGGTAGCAACACGGAGACTCCCCCTTGGACCAACGATTCATGGGAAGGTGAGTGGGACCTCATAACGCCATCCATTTATCCTCCATTCATATGTATTACCTGCTGAACCCAGATTTCCATACATATTTAATTCAGTTAATTAATATAGCGCCAACTCACAACACGTTACAGTTCACCAGATCATCCAGTCAAATTGATTCAAAGTTCTCTATCTAATGTAAACCAGTTGATTGCATCGACTCATTGACTCGAAGGCAATCCCTCACACTAAGCATGCTTGTAGAGACAGTAGAGAGGAAAAACTCCCTTTTAACAGGAAGAAACCTCCAGCAGAACCAGTACATAGAATACCTGTAGAAGTCAACATCTTCGACCTCAGACTAAAATGTTTCCTGTAAACTCAAATTACCAAAAATATTTCTCTCTCTGCTGAATTCCAGAACATTAATTATACATTTTTAGAGATTTTGTTTAACTTTATTGAAAAACTGATGATTATGTGAAATAAAGTTACTAAAAAGCTAAAATACTGCCCAGTGATCTTATATGAATGCCAAATAATCTGAACCAAGAGATTTAAGAGAGGTTTGTTGGCTGCGGTGCTCACAGACATCAGGTCTTTGTTACCCAACCCCACCCTTCCCGAATGCGATTTTTTTTTTTTTTTTGCCCTTTTCGAGGCAACTTTCCAGTCGTGCGAGAATTTTCCGATCGGACCGACTTTCAGCCTAATTGTGCGTCGTGTAGTGTACAGGGGGTAACGAGGGGCAATCAGCCTCTCACGACCACCTCCTGATAAGGATTCGTGAGGTCGGGAGAAAATCAAACATGTTTGATTTTCAGTAGGCCGTCCTGGGCAAATCGCTCAGTGGGCAAACAAGGATTCTTCTTCTTCCTCTTAGATGAAGTTTCGTTTGGACGTACAATGTGAGCTGCAACAATTGAAAAACTCTCACAGTGTATGCCCGGCTTAAGGAGAACTTAGAAAAGCCAATCAACCTAACATTCATGTTTTTGGACTGTGGGAGGAAGCCAGAGTACCCTGAGAGAACCCACATGTGCTCAGGGAGAACATGCAAACTCCATCCGGTAAGACCCCGAGCCGGAAAAACTGAACTAGGAACCTTCTTGCTGCAACACAGCAGTGCTACAAACTGTGCCACTGTGCAGCCCTTGCAGAATTTGCATTTTGCTAATTTATTTTTCGTGTTTGCAATTAGCACAGTTTGATTGTCAATGGAAACACAGCCGTTGACTTTGTTGTATAAAGCCAGAATTCTGTCAAAAGTGCAGACTTTGGCTACTTCAGTTTTTGTAAACATCTGGCTTGTTCTGTATAGTGCGCTGCAAAAAAAGACCACAGCATGTTTGTTTACTAGTGTAGGAACCTCAAGTTTGTGCATCCAGCACCTTTCAAATGTCTGTACTACGTAGATTTGATTCGTAAACATTGTCTTTTGTGTTTTTACTAAAAAAGCGTACAATTTGAGACCAGATCTGAGCAGTGAGGATCTTCTTGATGTTTATTAAGATTGTGGTTGTATACATTTCTCTTATTTTGAAAGACTATTTCTGAAAGATATCCAATTGCAATTTAAACTTTTTTCAACATCAGAATAGTTGAAATGTTTGAAACAATCCCTGCCTGAGTTGCTCAGAGTTGGACTTTAATCAATGATTGCAAAGAGCCACTTAATCAGTCCCTAATTATTCTACAGTATTGCACAGGAATACGTTAAGGTAATAAGTAGGGAGCAGTCTACACCAGGGACGGCTCATTCATTGAAACACATGAAGTGGGGCTTCATAAAACTTTTTTCCTTTCAGTGCTAGCCCAGCCCAGAAATAATGGCTCCTTTCACTTGCTGCTAGTTTCTGGAGCTGAAGACTTTCTTCTCCCCATCCCAACCCTGCATTATATATATATATATATATATATATATATATATATATATATATATATATATATTAGGGATGGAACGGTTTCGACTGTCTTGGTTCGGTTCGCGTGTGTTTCTCATAGGCGAAGCGTTTACACTCCAGAGCAGAAGGTGGCGGTACTGCGACCAAAGCCAACCACCAGTACTAAACAAGAAGAAGAAGAAGCGAAGCAGCATAGCCGGGTGTAGCAGAAAAAAATCAGTTGTTGTGGAGAATTGTGTCGGAATGGCGAGTGGGAAAGAACAGGAGTTGGAAGACGCGCCAGCAGCACTTTATAGGTCTGCTGTATGGGACCACTTTGCATTTAGAGTGACCTACGATGACGGCGGAAAGAAAGTTGTGGATAAAAGTGCAACAGTGTGTAGGCATTGTGCAAAACGTTTTGTTTATGCTAACAGCAACATGACCAACATGTCATGCTAACCCCGAAATCCCTCATACTCCGTCAGGAACCCCCACTCCGCCCCGCTGCGCTCCAGACCGGCTGCTCAAAGCAAAGCCTACAGCCTCCACTGTGGCTCCCGTCCGCTCCGAGTTCCTTGGAGATCGTAGAGGGCATGTGCGAGATGATTAAATTCAAAGCAGCAAAACATACGGAAATGATCCAGGGTTTCCACGAATCATTAAAAATAATTACAATTCATAAATTTTTTGGATTTTTTCATTAATTTCATAAATTTTAATAATTTTTATAAATTTTTTTATTTTTCGGTGTAACAATAAACATATACCGAACCGAACCGAAAACCGTGAACACGAAACCGTGAACCGAACCGAACCGTGGATTTTGTGAACCGTTCCACCCCTAATATATATATATATATATATATATATATATATATATATATATATATATATATATATATATATATATATATATATATATTTTCCAAAAATTTACAATTTCGTTTTAACGCTTTAATTTGGTCAGCCCTCAAACAGAACCTAACAGTTGAAGTTTCAGAATTGGACTCAACAGAAAACCGTCTTGAGTTGAGACGTAATTCTGAACAGACTGTCTTTGCTTAATGCTACGTTCACACCTAAAGCTGAAGAGGCATTAGAAGCTGCTAGTTTACATGCAAAGTCCATGGTTGACACGTATCTTGGCGCAGCAAAAGGTACCGAAGCTCGTTTTGAGCAGCAGGAGCAGTGCGTCTGAGCAGCTATTTTTAATTAGCGCACCCCGAGCTTCTAAACATAACGGAGCGCGTAACGTGCGTTACGCGCTTCAGAAGCAGCAGCAGCTGGAGTTGGAAAAATTTTACTTTTGCTGATTGAAGCGCCACATCAACCAATCAGAGAAGCTGACCTCGGAGCTGGCAGGGAGACAGACACAGCACTGCTGATGCATATTGCTATGATCACTCCTCTGAAACAGTTTATTAACGTCTAGCACAGGGGTCTTCAACGTTTTCCAGGCCAAGGACCCCCAAACTGATGACAAGATGGAGCGGGGACCCCCTAATTATATATATTGTATGAAATAGTGTTATATCAAACTGGTCCTATAGTCACTCTATTACAGATGGAGTAATGTAAGGAAAGTAATTTCTCCCTGGGATTATTAAAGTATTTCTGATTCTGATTCCTGGTTGATGGGACAGGTGTTGTGAATGAAACGGTGCCCGGCTTGAAAGAGCTCCTGTGTGTCGCTGAATGTGTGCATTGATGACTGAAAGACATCTTCTGCCTCCATTTATCTCTTTACTACAGTGTGTTAAATTCATGTTAATGTGGATTTAAAGACATTTGAATTCAGGAGGGAATATAAAAAAAAAAAAAAAGATTTAACCAAAAGTTTCGCGACCTCCATGCAGTACCTCCGCGGACCCCCTAGGGGTCACAGACCCCCTGTTGAAGACCTCTGGTCTAGCATTTAAGTATCTGCAGGTAAAATATGTTGGATCTTATTATTCTGGTGCCTGTAGTTTGGATTCCTTACGTCCAGGATTCGAGCCGCTGCGAACAATAGCGGAAAAATGCAAAAAGGCAACCAGGCCAGAGGCTGCTGTTGAACGGGATTGCGAGAGACAGCGCACTGCCGTTGTACGGGGTCAAAGCTCAGACAGTGAAATAATATTTGAAGGCAGGATGGTAATCTGGATGAACTGACTGACTTTACTCACTGATCACAGCAACTATAGCTGCCATTGTTACAGGCAAAGAAAAGATAGGGTAGCTCCGCCCAACGCGCATCTGACCCACTTTTCGACCGCGCCGCCAGAGCAGCAAAGATGCTTCAGCCGTGTCAGTGCTAAACTTGTACAAGCATCAAAAATGAAGCAGCATGTTTTTGCTGCTCCTGCTGCTTGCGGTGTGAATGTAGCATCAGACTTGAAACCTGCTAAACAATGACCTGGTGCTACTTCTGGTTTTAACATCACACTTTAGCTAAAGCATATCTGTTACATAATGCAGAACTCAGAGATATTACGGTCAGTGCTGATTTAGTAGAAATGTTGTGATGTACAGCGCCGCTGTATTGAACTGATTCATTTAGCGGTCTCTAACTTCACATTTATCGATCAGCCTGGCTTTTATTCATCCTCAGCTGTCAAAGCTGGTATTTGTGTTCATCTAATTTTCAGTCCCGCCACAGATGCATTTACTGATCTAAATATATTTGTACCTGGGACTGCTAATGACTCTTCAAGGACACTTCTTTAGTGAAACTGTTGTTTTACTGTTCTCATATAGCGGGTTCCTGTTAGAGCTAGAATCAATAGTGAGTTCTCATGGATTGCTTTAAAAGCAATGCATAGATTTATCTCTGCTGCCTCTGAAAGCAGATACAAAAGAAAGCTCATGTAATGCAATCCTCAGCATCTTGATCTAAAAACAGACCTGGGATCAAAGCACATTTCACATTTAAAACCATCCTAAACATGCGTTCTATCTTCAGTCGTTTCCTTTTTATCTCCAGTCATTTCCTTTTTGTTGTCTAGATTAACTCATAAAGCTTACATATTTTTGAATACATGCAGTTTGTGTTGAAAGTCTGAATATTTTTCCACTTTTTGCCATATTTGTGATTACCCTAACATTTCTCACAGGCCATCAGGCTTCAAAATGCAAAACAAATTTTGCTGTGAAAGTTATTGTG